TGTATTTCAACGTCATTGTTAGTATCCTAGTATATTGTGACAAATATATCGTTGTTGGTGCACTTAGGAATTTCCCCAGTCAACGATATAAAGCAATATTTAGTTAGGTCATTTCAGATTTCTGCAGATGTCTTCCATCAGACCAAGGGGGTTATCCTTTAAAGAAATTAAAATCGTATAGTCTAGTTGGGTAGAATTATTTTTACCTAGATTTTTTTTTTTTTTAAGATTAGCTAATTAATGCTTGTTTTCCTTTAACAATTTGTTTCTGCAAAGGATTATAGGAAAGGAGCAATATTGGTTTCACATCTTTGTAATTGCAATATTGAGCTTTAGATGTGATAAATTTCATGCGGCATCAGCAGATTTTTTCTGAAAAAACTGCAATTTGATTACTTAATTTTTTTTTTCCTTTTTATTTGAGTATCTAACTGCTAAATTTGTTTATTTGAGAGCTCAATTTTTTATTTTTTTTCTATTTAAGTGTTGTAATTACCTATAATTGAAAAATAATGATATATTTGAAATGAACTCTTATGTAACAATTTTTAACTAACACTTAATAAAAGTAGACCCACTTAAATTTATTCAAAAAAAATAAAATAAAAAACTAAGTGCCCAACCTTTTATTTTATCTATTTGAGTGTTAAATGTTTTATTTATTTATTTAGATAAATAAATCTTTTTTCAATCTCAAGTAATAAATGCTCTATTTCATTGGGAGTGTATAGCATTGTATACATGCAGTCAGCTAGCCTCATTTGTATAGTCTTTTCTGTAATTGGGATTTTGTTTTGACATTATTTTTGTTCTTAATTTTGTAAAGCTTTATGAGCGAGGATTAATTGACTCCTGTTTGAATTTTTCTCTTGATAAATGATTTTTTTTTTTATTCATTAAAAAATGTTTATATTTTCTTCTCTCATAATTATGTCATCATAGTGATAGAATATGAAAAAAAGAAAATATACTAAATGTTGCTTCACTGGATGTCAATGCTTGAAAATATGACAGCATATGAGCATTAAAAAACATAAATGTACGAGTTAATTAGAAAATAAATGTCACACGTAAACTGTTGTATAATCCACTCTCAAAACAAATAGCGTGGTGAGAGGGGAAGTAATACAACACATTGAAATCATTAGTTGAATTAGGGTCCATTCAAAATACTTAAATCATAGGATTTTCTTAAATTCATCAATCAAATTGTTATTCCTACCAATTTTTTCAGAAAATTACCAATGAACATTTCAAAAATATTTATTATATAATAGTTATTAGTAATTATCATGCATTGTTTTGCTCTTCTATTTATTTATTGTTATAAAATGAATAGCAGTCCTCCTTTAATTCTTAAATTCCTACTCCATCTCTTAGAGTTTAAACTTGATATTCCAAGTTTCATTTAGGAAAAGTTTGCTTTGATACAACATGCACTCTCCAAACGGTCATGTCTACGAACTTGTATGAGCTTAGTATCCTATAAAAATATTACATGCGAGTAAAATACTAGAGTAGGAAAACATATAGCCAGATATGGTGAGAATTAATATAAAACTATAAATTATTTTTAAAATTTCATTGAATAGTTTAAATTTTTAGATTAAAATAGTAATTTGATAAGTTTTTATTAGATATGCAATATCTTTGGTTCAAAGAATAGCATGTCTACGAGAACATAAGCAGTGTGATTTTAAATACTCAATATCCCATAGCTAGAAAGATTTGAGGAGTTAGGAAATTTATAGGCTTTAAATAACATTTCTTTTTTCAAAAGATATCTTTTTAAAGCAAAATCTATCTCTCAAACGGAACAATATCTCTTGAAAAGGTTAACCATATGCTAGGCATAACACAACATCATCGAGAAGTGGCCTTAATGTGGTAATTACGGATGTAAAAGTTGTTGGATTAAAGATTTAATGTTTCATATTGGTTGAGAAATGAATATATTATATATACATGTAACCCACAATTTTAGGCTTTTGGACTGAAAAACTGTCCTCGGGAATTTAATTTTGGATATAAGATGAACATGGCCAATATAGTAGCACCAAAAAAATTTGCAGTCATGTAAGTAATCTTAGATGTTGTTTGGTAATAAAAAATAAAATGATGGGAATGAGAATGTAGGAATCGAATGATATTTGTATTTCCATATTATGTTTGAAATACTAATAAGAAATCGGAATGCAATTTAAATTTTTTAATATCTGATTTTTTATACAAATAAAAATAATGATTAAAAATATAATTTTATCAAACTATAATCGTTGTAAAAATAACAAAGGTGACGAGTGTTGGTGGTTATGACAGTGGTGGTTCTAGTGATGGTGGTGGTAAAAGTAGTTAATAGACAATAAATAAATAAAATATATTATTATTTTGAAAAAAAAAGGTTCTTTCTCGTTCTTTGTTTTCATTCTCACATGTTATGTGGGAATGAAGTTGTGTTTAAATTTTCATTTCCATTCCCACCTCGCATTCCTATTTATATTTCATTCCTTTTAACCAAACAAGCTATAACGTGAAAATAAAACTTTCATTCTCATTTTCACAACTCTATTCCCGATTACCAAACAACATCTTAGTCTTTGATGGAAGTTTAAGTAAAATTATGAAGAATTTATAGGATAGGAGCTAAAAAGTTCAATTTTCATGAAACTTCTTAGTTTCAGTGAGGATGGCTTATTGTCATGAATATCTATCTCCTAGTTTTGGCTCATCAAAAGTTAGAGCTAGAGTACCACTTAACTTCAGTTGAAAAACAAAAATTGGGAATTATATATTAGTGAATGTTACAAAATATTAGAAAAACTAAAGTTATGAAAGTGCAAGTAGAAGTCACAAAACCACACTATAAAATATTTTTTTATAGTAAAAAAAAAAAAAAGGAAGGAATGAAAAATATGAATGCATTCTGGATAAGCACCTACTTTTAAGATTTCAATAATCTGCATTATTATTGGTAGTCAATATTCCATAACTTTAAAAAAAAAAAAAAACAAATTGCATCTAATAGCCACAAATGAATTAATTATATAAAACATTAGGGTAGTTAAGGAAGACGTTGATTTCTCAAGTTCAAAATTTTAGTTGCATGCACTTACACTTAATATTTATATATTAAGAATGACTTTCGTTGGCAAAAGTGGTTTGCAGTGATGCTTTAATTTTCATTTGGCAAAACCACCTTTTGCCCTATGTGTTCCGAATTTGATCGATTAGATCAACACTAAAATTAACAAAATGTTAGTTAATTGATCCCAATCAAAAAATGCCATTATGTATAAGAAAGGGATCAAATTATGCATTTTAGAAATATAGGTATTGAATTAAACTTTTTTAAAAATAAATGTCAACATCCTTTTCACTAGGATCTTCAATGTCCAGCCACCTTCTAGGTGAATTGCCGGTGGAAATGGTGGTTGTCCAGTGGTGAACACCAATGTATGTTGGGATAAATTTTTCAAAATGTTCATTTAAGTACTTGAGTAAGAAAAAAATTAAAATAGCCAAACACAATACTTTAATTTATTATTTTAAAAATCTTTACTAATTGTGTGCACACTAATTTATTTTAAACTTATAAAATTAAGTGACTATAACTCAAAATTCTAATAATGATAATACATGAATTTTTTATATCATTTTAACTTCACCTACAAATTTATCATCCTCATTATAATTTGACAAATATAATTCTTCAACTTGAAATCCTGAAAGACAATGAAATTCATCAATGAATTTTGAATTTAAACTACTATCCCACAAATCAAGTTCTTCAATTTCAATATGTGCCAATCTCATGGGTGTTTTATTTTTATATTTTTCAAAACAAATCACTTAATTTTCATTATATTTATGAAAATCCAAATTATATACCAATATTCTATTGGCAAATTTTCGTGGTAAGTATGTTTTTTGAAACTTTTTCTTTCTTAAAAACTTAGCTTATGGTTCAACTAACAACATCTATGCAGAATTAAATATTTTTTATAAAAATATTCCAACTCGAAATATGAGCAGTTCCACACAATATCAATGATGTTTTTTCCTCTTTTTTGTTTCAAATTTCTAATGGAAAAAAAAAAAAAAAAATCAATTTTTCTCTCAAATCAATCATATCTCAAACATTACATTCTTTCATGTATTTTTCTACTTGCAAACTCCAATTTCTGTAACGTCCAAAATTCAGCTTTTTAAATTTTTTCCAATCCTTAATAATTAGTTAAAGATCATCCAAGAAAATTTTCTTTACTTATCTTGATAAAATTTCACTTTTTTTTTCTCCATTCAAACTTTGATGTCCTCATTTCGATCTTAGTTTGTGACCTGCTAACATACTAATTCTTTTTGTTTATTTAAACACTTTAGTACTCCATTGATTTTATTGAGTCACACCACACCCAATTTTTATTTATTTATTTATTTATTTTCAAAATATTATGCACAGTTGTTGAAATTAGAAAGTTTCTACATGTCAGAATTAGTGAAAGATAACAAACAAATGTGGGAGAAGAAAGTGATAATATCAAAAAGGTAATATCATAGGTTTTACTTGCGACTGATTCAAAAGGTTAAGTAGGTAAAAATGTGCATATCAGAGCCAGTGTCTTTAGAGGCAAGGATAAACTGAACTGAAAATACTGGAAGGGGAAGCATATAATAAGGCTGAGGTGGGGTAGGAAAACATCTACATGATAGTAATAAAATTGTCGAAATAAGTCTTAACTTTGGATTCCTAAATTATTTGTGTACTAGAAAATTTCCATTCAATTTGACTGCAATGCTGACAATATCATAAAGGTCACAACTCATAAATTGAGAAGTTGATCCCATGTTAAGGTCTTCAGTAGATGTTCATGTCATTTAATTTAATACTTTTTCTAAAAGAAAACTGCTTGGATATAGTCATTCTTGTATAGTGCTCATGGATGTTACTTAATATTATAACTTTGTTGAGAATTCTTCTGAACTTTCCCGTTTGTGGCAGCATGGAATCGATCCTTGAAAGATACGAGAGACACTCATATGCAGAGCAACAGCTTGTACCAAATGGCTCGGAAAATCAGGTATTATATGAAGATAGTCTACTAGAATTAGTCAATAGTGTGATTTATCTTGTACTTTTCTGTGTTGGAGTAGGGCAAATTGGATCCTTCAGCAAGTAAGGTTTTGTTTTCTCAAGGAACCTAAAACGTGACTCTAGGTTGTATGTTTGTTGGCAAGAGTTGGTCATGTATTTCAATTCTTCAAACTGAAAATCTTCTTGAATACCTAGTATTTGTCACAATTTCTTTATATTTTTGTGAATCCTGTTTAGGGAAACTGGTCTATGGAGCACCCCAAGCTCATGGCAAGGGTTGAAGCCTTGCAAAGAAACCTAAGGTACTACTAGACTTCATTTTAGTTATAGCAATGGCTGTTAGTCATAGCATATGTCTTTTCCAGTTTATGACTTTTATTGGTGCCGTATGCTGAATTCTTAGTCTCTCTATCCACTATAAAAAAACACTCAACTACAGGATTTTGTTCAGTTTTTTTATTTTGTTCAAAAGGTGTTAAAACTGTGGCTTACTGGTTTTGAGATTCTTTTTCTTTAAAAATATCTGAAAAAAATCCAGATGCTTGAAACCCTCTTTTTCGTACTACTGTTTTTCACATGGCACTGGCTAATAATCAAGAGAATGATGTAGCATGTTTCACATTTGATTATTTGGCTAACAATCAAGATAATGATGTAGCATATTTCACATTTGATTATTTAGGAACTATACAGGACAAGATTTGGATCCTTTAAGCCCTAGAGAACTTCAACACTTGGAGCAACAAATAGATAATTCTCTTAAGCGTATACGATCAAGAAAGGTGAAGTTAGCATGTTTTCAAAGTATTTTGACATACAATCCCAAGGGTTGGCTTGGTGGTCAAGGAGGTTTGCTCCTTTCTAGATTTTCTGGGTTCAAACCTCGTGATGTGGGGGTGCCTCTAAGACCATCCCAACAGTGTTTTAGTCTCGGTTCATGCACAAGCTTGTCCGAATATACTCTTACCGTCTAATAAAAGAAAAAAAAAAAAGTGTTTTAACATACCTGTTTGTTTAGATATACATGTTGTAATGCTTGCTCATGGTGAAAGTTAATCTTAAATTTGCAGAACCAACTCATCCATGACTTCCTTTCAGAGCTGCAGCAAAAAGTAAGATCTTTGCACTTCTGCACTCTAAATTTTTATCAATATTTGCAGAACCAACTGCTTTTTTATCAATATTTCGTCATCCGGTTAAATTTTTCTGCCAAAAACTGCGTATGCACAAAAAAAATACATACACTCAGTTGTGGTGGGAATGTGAATTGTGATTACCTCATATTCATTGTATATGTCGTCTGACACAAAGCTTGTGGCAGGAAAAGGCACTCCGGGAGCAGAACAACACACTAACACAACAGGTAAAAGTCACTGAACTGTGATTTTCTGGCATGGTGTTTCGCACTTAGCCAAACTTTATTTCATTGCATCTGCCAAATGATATTGGTGAATTCTATGATAAAACAAAAAAAGGTCAAGGAAAATGAGAAGGGACGAACTGAGCAAGCACGGTGGAAGCAGCAAAACCTTGGCCAAAACTCATCCTCTTTTATGCTACCACTAGCACAAGCTCCGCCGCAGCTGCCAATGCTAACTCAGCTTCCTCTAACTATAGGGTATGCGTTCTCTCCCTTCTTGCTCTTGAGAAACATTATATTTATGGTGGAGAGAAAAAAAAGTGGTCAAATTAAATGAGGCTTATGATTTCATGCTTTGCAAGTTGATTTACGGAACAGAAAATATCCATTTGTTGTAAATGATGCAGCGGCAGTCTCCAGGTGGGAGGGTTCCTGAACGGAAATGAGAATGTTGGAGTTCAAACTCAACCTAGCACCATTCCGCCGTGGATGCTCCGTCATGTCAATGATAGAATTTGAGACATGGGAGATTGGAAAGTAAAATGGGTTATTGAAGTGAGAGAGAGTATTTATCACTTCATTCTTATAGCTATCAATGTGTCCATCGTATAATCTCTACTAATATGCTGACAACTACAAGAATGTAATTGTAATTTTAGCTATTTCAAGACCAAAACCAGCTTCCGTGCCTTTTCATATCTCTGAATAAGCAAAGCTTCCACTTTGCATGTTTAGCAAGTTTAATGTCTTGCTTCCACAAGCTTTTGTCTACCAGAACTAGGGTTTTATCTCGCCTGATTTAGGGGCAAGTGGCAACTCTGCATTCCCCACCCTACCCAAGATGACCAAGGTAACTAATTCAGCATTGAACATGGCATAAAGCAGTTAGCCATTAATTTGTGCAAACAATAAACAATAGGAAAGGCCGACTCCTCTAGATTGAGAACATTAGACAACATTTTTTGTTCTCTCTTATTGTTAGGTTGTTGATTTTTTTTTCCCCCCTAGGAGTTTGGCTTAGAGACGAGCACTACATGCAAGTTTATCTATGATCCAGAATCCGTTATCTACGATCCAGGGACACAATATTAGACTAGGGATTCTTTTGCATATGTCCAAAGTGCATATAAAAAAAAAAAGAGTAAGTTTATTCAAATTTCAATGAGAAGTTCAATTACAACTTCAATAACAAGAATATTATTTTTGGTTCAATGGTCACAACCAGACTGATCATCGAGGTGGCCAATGAGAATAAATATTATGATACAAAGAACGCCAGGGATTCCCCATTGGCATCTGAATAATATAGTTCATTAATTGCAATCCTAATTGGATCACCAAAGGTGCATGCGAGAAATGCAGGGTATAGAGTGACCAGCAATCTCCAGTCCACGCTGCAATTGATTGGTTATTTTCAGTCCTTCCTGTTGCTGATATCTTCATAATCTAAATCACCACCAGGCAAAAGCTCCCTGCAGGTAGAAAGAATTGTTTAGTTAGGCATCTCTAAAGGAACAAACATGAAAAGTGAAAAATAGTACAATGAAAGCCATTGCAAGGCAAAAGTGGCAAAACTCACGATGACAAACTGCATGCATGCATGCCGCGGTAACAAAATGTGTACCGTAAGTCAATTGAAAGTAGCTGGACTCGGTATTTTAAGAAGATTAAAATTCAAGCATTGAATTCTTATAAAATTCACATTATAGTCACTCTACAAAGAGTGAAATGGGAATAAATGAGATCACCTCAAGTCACTCCAATTAATTGATTATTTACTCCTTGCAATTTTTAGTTCATCAATTTCAAATCAGTAAGATAAAAAGCTCTCATGGTATGACACTTAGGCTTTAGTTGAAGAAATTTGAGCTTCCAAATGATGTATGACTCAACAACATAATAATGAAACCATAACAAGCAAACGTTTAAGAGAATTTTAGCTTCCAATCAAGTTTTACTGACTCGCAGCATATAAAGTAACCATAATAAAGTAATCAAACAGAAAGAGTAAATAGAAATAACAAGTTAAGAGGTAGATCTATCAACCATATGCAAAAAGAAATACCTCAATCTTCCACAGAGGCGTGCTAAAGCATCTGCTCCTGTTCTGGACGCAACATCCTCAATCTCAGAAGCATTTGATAAAGTGACATTCTCTGCAAGTCTAAACTCACACAACTCTTTCAAGGAACAAGCATCAGTCAACACTGCCGAATGGCCACCACCAGCTGCTAGTTTTCGCAGTTCCCCTACACACCTGCAATATTGTACTTCCATCAAAATCCAGGACTAAATAAATCTACATAAGCTACTGAAGAACCTTAGCTATAACATACCAGTCAACTGGTGATGGATACCAAGCATAAGTAGATTTCTCATTCGCTGCCTGACCATAACTGTTGTAACCCCATCCATGAATTCTTCCATCCTTCATAGAAACAAGTGTGTGAGAATGTCCACAAGCAACAAGTTGCACATCAGTCGGGACAACCAAAACAGGGATGTTTCGCAGAAAGGATTCAGAATCACTTGGAATGAATGAAAAAGATCCAGTTTGAGGGCCAAGGCCCAATTGCCCAGCTCGACCGCCGCCCCAAGCATAAAGTGCTCCCTTCTGAGTCACTGCACAAGTGTGTACTCCTCCACATGCAACATCCTTGGTGAAGATTCCATCAAGGGCGACCACTCGCCTTGGCAGTAACTCTTTATCCCCAGACTGAAGAGAAGTATGCCCCAGTTGGCCCATGTTTCCTAGCCCCCAAGTATAGCTGCAAGGCATGAAGCCAAATAATGAATGATCAAATTTATGCAGATAAACAAAGATAATGTTACATAGAATGAATCCAATTGTTTCTATCACTTGTCTTTGAATCAAGGCAATCAAGGCCACAGAATAAGCCATTCAAACAAATATAGGCTTTTTAACAGAAAGACTTCTTCCAATTAACAACCATCACATCACACAAATGGGATGGGAGAAGGGTGTCAACAAAGGGCTAAATATTTTTTCTGTCTCTAATTGCTTCTTTTTATTTGTGATAGGACAGTAGGAATGTGTATGCTCCATACAACAGCCAAAAGATGGCTATGCAAACATTCATGAAACAGCCTTTAAACATGAGGAAACTACCTCAGCAGGAGAATCAACATTTGCATTAGTCGGAAACATGTGCGACCACATGCTGAGCCTTTAAAGAATAATTGAAGAAGCTTGCAAGTTCAACAAACAAGTTGAAAAGCCATTAATACAAACCAAACGCTTAAAATGTTAGGATATGGTTCTTCTATGGTATATATGCTCTTCATCTAGTAGGTATCCAACCAACTCATATGCCACTCAACGTTCTTTATACTAGTCATCCTGAATGATGTGACACCCACTGAAACTACTTTGCCAGTTTTATGAGCCACGTGTATGGAAAACTCACAACCCATTTCCATCTCCTGGCATAAAACAATAGCCAGTTCTACATATTAGCTTTTTATCCACATTTCTCAGTTTTATTCAGTCCCTATTTCAGCTATGACTGAGCTTTCTCCTAACTAGACTGATAATATAACAATCCTAAGCACACGAAATTCTATCAATTCCTAGACCACACTATAAGTTAGTGGAAAAAATAAAAAGAATCTAGATCAGATTTGTGCTACGGAAAAGGAGGCTTGAGCATCATAGTAGAGAACACAAGCTACTAAAGCTACAAGTTAGTGGCAGAAACAACAGATCTACAATAACTCCGAGCTTTTCGTGGTATAACCAAGGTAGGGGAAAGAGACTTGCATATCAGAATGCATCGCATTTCCATGGCAACCCATCTCCAGAATAGACGTGAGATTCCCATATGAAGATTCCCCAACCCTCAAAGAGAGTTACATGTGTCATGCGGATAACCACAATTCTCATGCTTAAATGTAGAACTATCTCCACTTAAGAGGTCCATCAGATAACTTACACCTCGCCTTTTTCAGATATTGCAGCTGTGTGGTACTCCCCGCATGACACTTGGGTAATCTTCACGAGCTCAGGGGCTTCATCAAGAAACTTCGCATAAGCATTTATTACACGAGCCCCCTGCAGTCCTTCACATGTGAAACCTCTGCCAAGTTGACCACATTCATTGTAGCCTGGTTTATCAGAAGAACAATAATATACTGGTTAATAAATAGGTCGGAAGAGAATAGTGCAAATTCTTCCTCCTTAGATCAGATGTCAACCAATAAAAAGATTGGCACATATATTGACCAGATGTTCATGAACCTGAGGACAGACACATTACATGAAAGCTGATGGTGATGAAACAACAAAACGAATTTCACAATCTTTTGGAAAAATTCACAATAGCTTATCATGCATCTAGAAGAGTATTTACCCCAAGCTTGTAGTAGGCCATCCTCTGACAAAGCCACCACATGAACTGCACCACAGGACACCTGGCGGATACTCTGAAACAAGTAAAAAACAGAATCCAAATCAATTCAGTACAGTGGGAGTCAATAAATAATTGAAGGTATATCCGCCTGATGCTTGGTAGCAATTTTTCTTATCAATGAAAACAAAACGGATTTCTGTTGACAGGTGACAACCAACAAGTTAATGATTAATAGAGACAGAATTCAATTGAAGTTAATGACCAAAATGCCATATCCAAGTAAGACAAATAGCTTATTGAAGGACTTCGGAATATTTTGCATCTATTTTCACAATCAATCAGCTTGAGTACCAGGCACCACCAGTTGTTTACACTAGTTTGTCTAAAAATCAAAATGCAAACTCTGATCTATAACATACCGTGTTTGGTGAAAAGGCTCCCCAGAATAAACGTGGATAATTTGATCCCTGTAATGAGGAGTATAAAATTCACTAAAACATAATAAAACTGAACAGACTAATACCTGTTCACCTTTATATGAGAAACAATTTTGACAGGAATAAAACTACAACCTGATTTTGTCCCCAAACCCAGAGTCTGCTTGAGATGGCTCCATCATTTTTACGAGGCTCTGCAACAGCAGCAGTACAATGTGCTCCACAGGATACAGATTTCACAAACTCAGTCTCCAATTGCTTCACTTTCTTTGGGTAATTCCTGCCCTCCTCAGTGCCATCTCCCAATTGACCGAATTCGTTAGCACCTGATTGCATATATAGATAGGTATATAATGTCTTTCTTTATCGGAAAAACACATACACAACCAAGTATAATCCTTGATACATTATGTTGAATAAGCACCCAAAACCAGGGTACGCTGCTAATGCAAGAAAATAGAAGACAGATATTGGCACAAAAGCAAATCTTAAAAACAAATTTGTTATTTATACATCTAAAGACATAAAGAAAACAACCATACAGTCATTCTGCTAAAATATTTACAATCCTCTTTCCAACCAATAACAGTTAAAAACACTGAAATGAGTTGTAATCTTTCTGTTTTTTTTCATTTCTTTCTATTATTTTCTTTTTTTTCTTTTTTTTTTTTTCAGAAATGTGTAAAAAATACATGTCAAGAGAATGCTAGGGGCACGATCATCACCAAGAAATTGAACAAAAGGAAGATATTACTCCCAAACCACACGTAAAGAACAAAAGTTCACAGGTGATAGCCAAAGTATGCTCTAGGCAACAAGGAATTACAGGTTCATTGAGAAGGAAAAAAAACTATTATCCACACTACTATTTCATCATAGCACCATAAACACTGTCGCATTTGAAACAAATGACCACAAATATCCAGCATGAACAACAATTAAAGGATAGATAATAACATAAACAATACAAAAGATAAATAAATTAGAAGGGACCAAACCCCATGTGAAAAGTGATCCATCAGAAGCCACAGCAGCAGTATGCTCACGGCCACAAGCTATATCTAACCACCTAGCATTAGCACCAGCAGGGCACCCAAAAAGCTCAGGAGGAAGCCGTTTCGGAATTCTCAATTGACCCTCTTCGCCTTTCCTCCCTGTTTGCCCACTTTGATTATATCCCCACACATAAATTGCACTCTTTGTTGGCAATTTCACTGACCTTGCTGTCTCTCCAATTATCTCATTTATATCCATTTCTATTCTATCGCTTGTTTTTAAAATTCCTACACTGTAAAAGCCAAAAATTAACCCACAATGAAATGAATGGAAATTTCATCAAGAATAGGCGGAAAAAGTTCAAACTTTCCATGACCCATTTGGAAAAACTGAATCTTTTAATAACCCATATGCGTAAAATAAAAAATGGTATGAAGATTGAAAGGGTTCATGGTATAAGTGGGTGTTTGGTTACTGGGGAGAAAAAGAAAAGAATGCAGTGAGGGTGCATTTGAAGCATACCTGTTTTTCTATCTTTTCTTAAAATGAGAAATGTGATGTAATATTGTAATAACGTTAGGAGGGAGTTATAAATGTAAGTGAGTTTGTGTTTGGTTGTTCCAAAAAGAAGAGAGAAAATGTGAAGAAATTGACATTTGACGTTTCTAACTTGCATTTTCCCAGGAAGAGAGTTTTCCAGATTCCAAACCTGTCTGGGCCATGAATCTTAACAGTTGACCTTTTCTTTTCTTTTCTTTTCCTTTTTTCTTTATTTTTTTCACAACCATACATATTGGGATTACTAGCATATGTTGATTTTTTTTTTAATAATAAAAATATTTTCAAATCAGTATTTACAATACTTCGAGATTAATATCTTTTTACACGTGAAATTACTCTCTAACACTTATATTGGTTTTGTCACATTAAAATCAGAAACTAAATATTTATGTTGCATTTTCTACTCTTAATCTATATCTATATCTTTATTCATATTAGATAATTTTCAAACAAATTTTTTTTTCTCTTTTTTTCGTATTCGAACTTAAGATTATAACATGACATGATAATAAATTTAGGATTTTTTTAAAAGGAATTACCTATTTGTATTCGTTATTATTACTGGAAGTATTATATTTAAAATATTTTTTAGTTTATAAAGTACGAGTGGTATGTAACTCAATATTCATTATGTGATTATTAGTATATAATTAATTATTTAGTAACATGATTATATTAATTTAGATTAACATATCAATATTTTCTATCATAATCTTTCTTATGCATGGTCGTGGTCATTGTAATTATGTTTATTTGTATTGTTTGTATTGTATTTAATAATTGACAAATTGTGATTCAAAAATTTTAGTCAAGATTTTTATGGTATTTTCTTTTCTTTTCAACTTGATATCAATTTTTTATTTTTTTATTTTATTGATTCAAATTGAATTTAAAAAAATCAAATAAAAAAAATGTACAAATGATACATAATTCAAGTTCTGTATTTCAAAAAAAAAAAAAAAAAAAAGTGGTATACCTCAAATCTAGCTTGTTTCCTTGAGAATTAAGACCATTTTATGTGCCGGTGTCGTGCGTAATTTGCGCAAGACTTGGGAGTCCTTTGATCAACACTTGTGTTTCCTTTTAAGACAAAAGGTCCACTCCTCACTTGTTTTTCATATTGAGCCTTTCAAGATCAAATTACACAAGGTTAAAAGGGTCCACCAATTCTAAATTTTAAGTCCTTTAAATCATTTAACTTCAAATTTAGTTTTTCTAATTTTTAAATTTTTATTTTTTTGAAATTTAATTTATTCTTTATTTTTTAATCATTTATCTCAAAAAATAATAATCACATAAATAATTTTACAATATAATCATTCAATGAGATTACTATGGAGTTCTTAAAAAACAAATTGAGATCATTTTAGTTTATTTTTCTTATTTTTTATATTTTTAAATTTCAATATATATATATAGCTTTTGAAATTTTTTTTAAAAAATAAATTGGATTTTTTACAAAATGTATGTAAAATTTTAGTTCAAAATAAGGAAAATTAATTTTTAAAAAAAAAAGACAATAGCTAAAAATTATTGGTTGGATTAAATTTCAAAAAAATTTAAAATTTAAAATTATAAAAATAAATTTAATTTTAAATGAATTAAAATTTAAGAGGTTTTCAATCCATTTAGCTATAAAAAAAAAAAAAAAAAAAAAAAAAAGAAGCTAAAATTGTCAAAATTTTAAAGGTTGGTGGGTAGGTGAAAAATGCTCTTTTTACCTTTATCACCTGAATTTTCCAGTGGGTGACAAAACACTTGGAACAGTCGAATGATCAAAGTCCACTCGTATCATTAATTTATAAGGCACATTTTTCTCAGCTCATCCAATGCCAATGCCTTCGGTAGCTCTTCACAAGATCACAGCTCCTTCATTGTTCCAGGTACACGTTCTTTCTCTTTCAGAAACCAAACCTCTATTGCGTTATTCTCAATTCTTTCTTTGTGTCCACTTCTTCATCCTTTTTAGTAATTCAGACTGAGATAGATTTCATCAAGTTTTGTTCTTTTTCCTTCTTTGACTGGTAAATTTTTGTTCTTTGGGCTACCTTAGTTTATTGAAATGATTTTTTTTTTTTTTTTTTTTTTGCAATATTAATGTTAGTTGTGAATTGGGTTGGTAATCCTGTTCCTGCTTTTGGAATTTTTTTATGAAATGAAGCAACACCTTTTGTTATTATATGATTTTCTTTCATTTTTTAATGGGATCATAGATATAAAGGAAGAAAAGAAGTTGTGAATTTGGTTATTCTGCTTCATTGCTTGGATTAGCATTTTGTTTTGTTCCTTGCTTTTCATTGAATCCAGAAAGGACAAAACATTTGATTAAAGGGACAGTCGTTACCACAAATGAAATTGGATGAGGCTAATTTAGGATTTTTTTCCTTAAAATAATTAAAAAAGTTTAACCATTCCAGTTTATGTATAGATAGGAAATGATATAATAGTTCATCAAGCCAACTAGTCATTTTCTTTGTGGAACAGAATTAACTGGAAATGTATAGGGTACTGTAAAGAAAAAGTAGTCATTTATGCATTTTCTTGCCAACTTAAATAGAATACTATAAAGAACTAGCAAGCTTATTCATTGCTACAGGCTGCAATAGTTCCAAAGATCTTAATTTAATTAGTTCAATGCTGAAGGAAAAATAGAAGATACTTTTTGCTTGGGGTACCATCTAATGGTTTTGTAATAGGTTTTGATGTGTTGGACATAGGACTTGAAGAAATAAAGACTGTTTTTGAATCTTTAAAATATGTGATCCTTACTTTATGTCTGTATATTAGAAAAAAAGCAGATACTTGAGCATCATGGCTGAGTCAGTTAGTCACAGCACTGCAAAGAAGCTTGTTCAAATTGATGTCAGTTCAGACACTGTGTGCCCATGGTGTTTTGTTGGCAAGAGAAATCTGGACAAAGCTATAGCTGCATCTAAGGATCGATTTGATTTTGAGGTTCCACTCTGTCTGTCACTCTCATTTGTTAAAGAGTTTCAATCTTACTTAAGTTCATATTTACTTACTCTGCAGATCAAATGGCATCCTTTTTTCTTAATCCTTCTGCCCCTAAAGAAGGTGTCAATAAGATGGAGTTCTACAGGCAAAAGTTTGGATCTCGAGCTGAAGGAATCATGGCTCGGATGACAGAGGTGTTTCATCACTTTTTCTTTTCTCGCTTAAATACATGTATGTTACTGTTTGTTGGCCTTTAGATTGGGTAGGATGTAATTATGCCACTATATGAACTTTGCAGGTTTTTAAAGGTCTTGGTCTGGAATACAACCTGTCTGGACTCACGTAAGATTTCATTTTGTTTTCATAAATGGACATTGTGGTGCAAGAAAAAACAAGTATAAGGATTTGATTTTCTGGTAAAACTATAAACATTTTCTTGGGAATGCGCAGGGGCAATACTCTAGACAGCCACAGGCTTATAAATTTTGCTGGCCATCAGGGTCTTGATAAGCAACATAAACTTGCAGAGGAGCTGTTCCTTGGATACTTCACTCAGGCCAAATACGTTGGTGATAGGTAAATGCAGATATTAAAAAGCACTTTATTGTTCACCTCAGCATGAAACTTCTTATATTTTCTTGCACATTTGCCTGTTTACGGTATCCAAATGCCCTGTGGTCACTAACCAAATTTTCAAAAGACTGCATAGGTGCAATCCCAAGACTCTTTGCTCGTAGATTCGGAAAAGTTGCGAATGTAATCTATTCCTCAAGGATCTCAACCAGATGCTTAGCTTTTTAATATAACTAAATCACTTTAATACATTGTGGCACTGTATAAGAAGCAGTATCCAACAAATTGAAAGTCGAATTATTCAGAATCAAATGAGACGGGATCCATAAAGCAGTTCACATAAACATTTTGTAAATGTGCTATTAATTTTGTGAGACATTCATTATTAGTATGGTTGACGCGTCCAGGTAAGTAAGAAAGCAATTCAATTATTAAGCGTTTTCTCAGATAGTTGAAAGCGGCTTTGTCAAGCCTTCACTGGTCTTTCTACCACATGACTGGACTTGTCTAGGCTTGTGCATTCTTTCAAGGAAAGCACTTTTTTATTAACCTAGCACAACAGACTTAGGTCATTGAGATGTGTCATGAAAATGAATATGCTAACACGTCCGACTCGATGCAGAGAATTCCTTCTAGAATGTGCTCAAAAGGCTGGGGTAGAGGGAGCAGCTGAATTTCTTGAAGATCCCAATAATGGAGTCAAAGAGGTCCTTTTTAGTTTTTCTCTTAATTGCTTCATGTACCCTTTGAGTTGCCATTAAAATAGCTGAAATTAAGAAATTTAAATTTTTAAAATTGGTGGTTTTTGCTCTTTTTAAAATTCAAGGTTAAAATTATTGGTTTTTATTTTTTTTCCTTCTGAAAAAACAGTGGGAATCTAATGGAGTGTTGTCTAAGTTTTCTATCACACTTGGTTTTTTGGTTTGAAAGCATACTAAAGAAGTTAAAGTTTTGAATCCTGACTGACTGCAGCCACCACTCCCCTGAAATATGTTCATTTTCCCACATATCTTCACAGCCAAACCTTCGTGAGCTCTCTTCAGATATAATTGATTGACTTTTGTTCCTTTTGCTTATTCCAATTAATTGAAAACTATTCCGACTAGCAACTTGATTTGGTCTGAACCTTCTGTTTATAATCACCTGAAGGTTAATGAGGAGCTTGAGAAGCACTCAGCACATATTACAGGAGTCCCATTCTATGTGGTATGTTATAAAATATCCTTTCTCATTTAGCTTTACGTCTTTGTTTCCACATGCAAAAGTCCATTGATTATGGCAATTTTTTTAGCAGATCAATGGGAAACAGAAGTTGAGTGGTGGCCAGCCCCCGGAGGTTTTCCTGAGAGCTTTTGAAAATTCTTCTAACTGACAATTCCTAGCTATTAAAATTTTCATTTCTGTCTGCTTTCTGTAGAAACAATAAACTTGCTTGTGGACTTGCACATATAATTAAAAAAAAAAAAAACCCAAAACTTTCGCTAAACTTTATTCGTTGCATTATTTCAAACACTATTCATCCATGTTCATATGCTTTATTCATCCAGATGTAAATGCACTATTCATCTCACTATACAATGGTATTTTTATAATTTTTAAATATTTTTAAGACATTTATTATGAAAGTTTTCATGACATTACACTTTGATTTTTTAAAAAAAAAAATGTTAAGTCTTTAAATTTTTTTATTTGATTTTGGTCTCATTTTTTGTTTCATTTTAGTTACTTTGGTTTTTACTTTTTTTTCTTTGGTTTTTTTAATTAAAAATTATAAGGTAAAAAGATGTTTAAAAAAATAATTTACAGAATAAGTATTTAGCTAAAAAAGTAGGTAGAAATAAATAAATAATTTTTTTTAATAAAAAAATTTATGAAAATATAAAGAATAATTAGTCGAAAATAAAATTTTGATTAAAAAAGATAAAATTAAATAAATTTTTTATTTAATTTTGATTTGATATATTTTCAACCTATAACATAATATGAAATATTAAAATAAAATAATTTTTTTAAAAAATAATGTAAAATCCATTGTGGTTTTACTTGTCCTGCAAATACGTACAGTGGTAAATTTTACAAATTACAATAGATGAAGACTTTGCTTTTGCTAAAGCTGTGCTGGCAATGCATTTCTATAGAGTTTGTTGTGGTGGGTACTTTGTCTGCAGTTTTAGAACTTTCCCTTTCAAAATATTACAACTAACCAATTAGATCTGACAGCTGACGTTTACCAATTACCTACGCATTATTTTTTGGCCAAACTACAATGTTACCCCCCACATATGGGATAGATTTTCTAATTTGGTCCATCTTCTACTATTTACACCAATTTTCCCCTTGGCCTTGCGAAATCTTGTCAATTTCTTTCCTTCATTAGTTAGAACAATAATTCTACTTTTCAAGTTACATATAAAAATTATATAAGAGTCAATTCACTTCCACTTTTCATGACAGTAAATCTTCAACATTGGTGCAATTAATAAAAAGATTAAAAAAAGAGAGAGACAACTACCCCATTGAAACTTCTCCAATAGGTAGGGGGTATAATAATAATTGCAGTTTGCACCCTTTTTATTTTTGACTTTCTCGTTATTAATTATTAAGATATAAAAACCATAATGAGCATTTATTTTGCCACGTTATACATTTACTGTTATGTTCCCCGTTCGGAAAATAATAATAATAATAATAATAATAAAGTCATAAATTCAATATCATTTCTTTTGCGTGCGACCAATCTTCAGCAAGCGGGTTGGTACGGTAGCAGTGAGTTTTTTTAATAAAGTATTCATTTATAATATTAAAAGTTTGAATAGTTGGTGATATATTACATATAAATGTAGTTATTTTTTAAAATACTCTGAACTTTAACCTGGATGTAGGTATAACGCAAATATAAAAAATGATATGATATGAATGCAATATTTTTTTTTTATCAAAAAGTGTGTGATAGCCTACCTGCCTATCCACTTTCTATACATCTTTGTTTTATTTTGTTTTGTTGTTGTTGTTATTAGAACTCCTACATGTATCAACCTGAACACTTGATTGCGCAAATTATAAATTAATCTCTTTAGTTTGGATAAACGAAATTAATTAATTTTTTATTTTAAAAAATAATTATTTATTTTTTTAACGGAGGTTGATTACACTTAGTTTTATATTATTTTATTGCCAAAAAATCTCATTTGAAGGTAAATTCTTCCTTAATATCTTATTTTATTTAATAAATAAATAAAAATAAAAAACAATTAAAAATTAGTTTTTAAAAATAAAAAAATTAATTAATTCATTTCTCAAAACTAAAGAAACTAATTTATAATTTATTCTCACTTGATTATAATTTTATTTTTTAACACAGCTACGTCAACATCATATAGTAGAATCCTTGAACTCGAATCTTAAGGCTATTGTCTAGTATCGAAAAAAATTATTTTTTAAAATGCATCATGTCAGTATAAAAATCCAAATTTTATTCTTTTTAATAAATAAACATTTTCAATCTTATTTATCAGTTCATCCACTCGCCTCCAACTAGAAAGACACTAATGACAATTAATATTTATTACATTCATTTCATTTCCTTCTCTATCCAAAAACAAAATTTATTTTTGCTCCATTCCTCTTCTTATTTGTCCAAATAATCTATGTATTGTTTGATTATTCAGAATAGTGTGGTGGAAATAAAAATAAAAATTTTATGTTATGAAATAATGAATGTCCATCATCATGTTCATCCACTTTTCATATCTCCACTACTCATGATTCTTAATATGATTCAATTCATCATTCAATATGAGAAATTGAAAAGGTGATGCAATTGATTATTCATAGTCCCTTTCAATTCTCTCCTCAATTTTAAAGCCTATAAATAGGCTTGGTTATTCATTAGTTGGTGTACAAGTTTCCTAGAGAGAATAAGAGAAACTTTGAAGTTCTTATCACTTATATTCACATTATAGTGATTTCATTTTCTTGTCATCATTTTCTTCAATTCTCCTATTATTTCTATTTATTTTATAACACATTATCAGTATGAAAGCTCTAACAAATCGAGATAATAGACCATGAGGTACGTATCTATCAAAAGATTTAATTAATTATTTCAACAATTAGATTTCTTCTACATAAGTATTCGCCAAAAGATCTAAATTATTTAGATCATTAATAAGTATGTATCTAATTTATTCATATACTTTAAATCTATTGATACATGAAATATATATTTGAAAAACTTAAATGATCTACTAATGATCTAATATATGTTGTTTAAAAAGTTTAAATTTTATTATTATGTTTGTTTTTATTTAAAATTTATTATTATATTTTGTCTTTATTTTCTAACATTATTATTATACTTGCAATATACAATTTTAATGATATCAACCATCACAAAAGTTGATTTTGTGGCCCTTGATATTTTGGGTAAGAATTATTGATAATAAGTGTTTGATGCTAAATTAATATCATCTACTTTCATGTCTTGAATATGCTCCTACAAGTAGCATATCAAGAAAAAAAGTTTAAGAAATATTTTGAATCAATTTCATACTTGTTCATGATAGCTAAATAAAATGATAAGCTATTGATGAAAAAGAATAAATCTCGTCCAATTGGATCTACTTCATTCCCCGAAGTGAATGTGACAATTTATAATAATTTTAGACATGGATGAAGATGTGGTCATAGCCACGGATATGGTCGAAATAATTATCATTGTAATCGTAATGATCATAATATTACATCTCACTACCGAAGTGGATAACTATGAAAAAAAATAGATAAAGTCAGTATTCGAAAAATAAATATTATAGATGTGGAATAAATGAATATTGATCGTGTACCTGTCGTATACCAAAGCACCTCATCGAGGCTTGTCCAAGCCTTATTGAAAAATAAAGAGTAAAATATGAAGGTCACTTTTATATATCAAAGTAATAGTAATTGAAATTAATTATTTGTTAGTTTTTATATTTATAAATAAAATGTTTTATATTTCTTATAATTTATGTCGTATATTGATGGTTACAAATTTATTTTATTATTTTTTTATGTTTATGAGGCATATATTTATTTATTTATTTTGTATTGATTTATTTTATTATTTATTTTATGTTAATATTATATATGATAATATCAATCTAATAGAAAGCTCTAGAAGAGCAACTATATTATTATCTAAAGAGATAGATTATGAAAGCTCTAGAAGAGCGATTATATCATGACTTGAAGAGATAAATTTTTGAAGCTCTAGAAGAGTGAATAAATTATTACTTAAAGAGAAAATGTTTAAAGGCTCTAGAAGAGTCGATATACTATTACTTGAAGTGACTAATTTAAAGGCTCCAGAATAGCAAATATGTTATTATCCGAAAGGATAAATTTATTATGAATGATATACTATTCTCTTTAAAATCTCATAGAAATTTGTTGAGTTTCAAAGATATTCGTCCGAATTGATATCATATCACGATAGCAAATGTGAATACTTATATGTTACAATCATTATATCGGGTAGAAAATATCTATCAAAAAATTTATCCATTTTCTCTTCTAGTTTTTGTTACAAACATTGAAATGATTGAAACAAATATTGTACTAAACCAGAAGTTTATTAATTCAAATACTTTTACTATGTGACATGATCAATTGTGTTATCTTGGGTCTTTCATGATGCAAAAAAAAAATTAAAAAATTTATATAAATATCTATCGAAGAGCCAAAAGATTCTTCAATTTAATGAACTTTCATGTTCCGCATATTGCCAAGACAAATTGATGATTAAGCCATTATTAAGTAAAATTTAGATTGAATCTCCAAGTATTTTAAAATGTATTCAAGGTGATATATATTGATCAATTCATCCACCATGTAGACCATTTAAATATTTTACGATTTTAATAAATGCATCCATAAGATTGTCACATATATACTTATTATCTACTTGAAACCCGATGTTTTCGAAATTGCTAACAAATAATTTGATTTCGAGTATAATTTTCAAATTATGCCGTTAAAACAAGTCACCTTGATAATGCTGATAAATTTATTTCTCAAGTATTAAATTATTATTGATTGGCTATCGAATAAAGGTTGAATAGCACGTTGCTCATGTTCATACTCGATAAGGTTTAGCAAAATTATTTATCAAAAGGGTCCAATTGATAGCTAAACCATTATTTAAAAATAAAACTCCTCGTTTATATTGAGAGATATGCAATCTTACATGCAGCAATACTTATATCGGACCTATAAGTTATCGAAATTCTCTCCTCTTCAATTGATTTATGGTCATGAGTCAAATATTTCTTATTTAAGAATTTTTTAGCATTGCGAGTGTATATCCTTAGTGCTTCTTCATAAGAAAATAAAATGAGCACTTAAAGGAGATTGAGAATATATATTGGATTTGAATCCTTTTTGATAATTAAATATCTTGAATCATGAATAATTGATATTTTTACGAGCTTGATTTATCGACTCGTCATTTTAATGAAATAGTTTTTTCAACATTAGGGGAGAGAATGAACAAAATAAACGAGTTGAAAATGTTGAAAAAAGAGATTACATGAAGTACTCTATTTTTATATCAATTTAGTATAAAACTATATGAACTAGAAGTTCAAAAGATAATTCATTTACAAGGCATTACAAACCAATCGCTAGATGCATTCTCGTATCCTTAAAGAGTAACTAAAATGCATGTCCTCATTGAGAATGCTTCTATTAGAATTGATGTCCTAGAATGATAGTCTATTAATGTTATAGCTAATTAATCTAAAGCACGCCCGAAGCATGGAAGACCGATCGGTTCTAAAGATAAAAATCCCTAAAAGAAAAGCACAAGATGAAAATATTCATAAAACGGTCCAATATATTTCGATAATAAGCTTCAGAAGAAGTCCAAATACTTGAGAAAAATTAAGAGATTTTGATAAATTATATCAATGCAAGTAGAAAATAGGATCGAAAAGAAACATCTATTGATAAGATTTTTGCATATAATATTACAATTGATATTATGGATGAAAATAAGAATCCCGAGTCTAAATTATTGAAGAATGTCAACATAAAGGTGATTGGCCTAAATGAAAAGAGCAATCCAGGCAAAATTATGTTCTCCTACAAAAGAGTAGTTTTTTGAACTCATAGCTAAAACACCTTAAGATGTTAAGTTAGTGAAATACAAATATGTATTTATGCGAAAATGAAATAAGAAAGATGAGATTATAAGATACAAAGAAAAACTTTTAACATAAAAGTTTTTGTAAAGAATTGACATTGACTATGAGGAAACATATTCTCCTATAGTGGATGCAATTGTCTTTTCTTATCTCATTAGCATGGAAAAATGTATGAAAAACATTCATATGCATGCATTTAATGAATGTGATCACAGTTTATTTGTTCATTTGAAATTATATTAGTATGAAAGTCCTATAAGGACTTAACATGCCAAAAGCATGTAATACATAGTCTCGAGAAAAGAATTCAATTAAATTATAGAGATCTCTATTAGGATTATTTTAGTATTTATTTTATTATTTTGGTTTTTAGAAATTCAATTTATACTTTTTATATTTTATTTTTATATCTACTCGTTTATTACTAACCCGTGTGCATATGATATAATTACTTCAATGATTATTTGTTGAAAGAAATTTATAAAAAAGTAATCCTTTTTGTTCATAATTTTTATTTGAAAAAGGGTTTGTTGTTGATGACTTAAATATTATTGAAACTCCCAAAGAGATTTCAAGTGTCATAAGTTACCTAAAAAGAGAATTTGATGTGAATATCTTGGGAAAACAAAATGTTATCTCAACTCGTAGTTCGAGTACTCGGAGAAAGAGATTTTTATTCATCGGTCGATTTATATAGAAAAAGGTTCAACAATGATTCTATATAAATATCATTCATCGATTAGTCCAATGACAGTTCATTCACTTGATATCCAAAAAGATTATTTTCGACCTCAAGAAGATAACGAAGAACTACTTAGTCCCGAAATACCATGTCTTAGTACCACCGATGTATTGATATATCTTGCTAATAATACTCGACTCGATATAGTATTTTCTATAAATTTATTAGCAAATCATAGCTTTGTTTCAATACGAAGATATTGAAATAAAGTTAAATATATACTACATTATCTTCGAGGAATAATTGATATGAGCTTATATTACTCCAATAAATCAAAGACAAGATTAATTGGTTATGCAAATACAGGTTATTAATCCGATCTACACAAAGCTCGATCACAACTCGGTTATATATTTATATATGAAGATCTAGCTATATCTTTGTGTTCTATAAAGCAAACTATAGTTGTCACATCTTCAAATCATGCGAAATATCAATTCACAAGGCAAGTCGAGAATGTGTTTGGCTAAGATTAACGATCTATTGTATTCGAGAGACATGCGGTTTACCTACCAAAGAAAAAGTTTCAACAATATCATATGAGGATAATGATGCTTGCATAATTCAATTGAATGAAGAATACATCAAAGTGACAATCCAACAAATTTATTAGCTAAAGCATTACCTACCACAACTTTTGAGAAGATGATACACAAGATTGGAATGTGTCATCTTAGAGATCTTAAATAATGCCTTCAACGAAGGAGACCAAAATGGGGATTAATGTGTGCAAGGAATATTATACTCTTTTTCCTTTATTAGAATTTTTTTCCACTAGGTTTTTTCCTAATAAGGTTTTAACGAGGCATATTCCTTGTATAATAGACATTCAAGGGGAGTGTTATGAAATAATGAATGTCCATCATCATGTTTATCCACTTTTTAGACCCTACTACTTATGATTCTTAATATGATTCAATTCATCATTCAATATGAGAAATTGAAAGGGTGATGCAATTGATTATTCATAGTCCTTTCCAATTCTCTCCTCAATTTTGAAGCCTATAAATAGGCTTGATTGTTCATTAGTTGGTATACAAGTTTCCTAGAGAGAATAAGAGAAACTTTGAAGTTCTTATCACTTATATTTACATTATAGTGATTTCATTTTCTTATCATCATTTTCTTCAATTCTCCTATTATTTTTATTTATTTTATAACAATTGTTACTTTATAAATGTTTAATTGAAAAAAATAAAATAATTTTTTTAAAAATAATAATATATTATTTTTTTTATTTATTATGTATCAACTACTTCTACTACCATCACTACCACCTCCATTGAAAATGATGATAAAAAAAAATTAAAAAGCTATTATTATTATTATTATTTTATACCACCACTATTGCCTTTCCGTTACCACCTCCTATGGTGATGATATTAATTTTTTAAAATTATATTATTGTTATTACTACCACATCTTCTTTATACTTCTACTCCATCACACAACCAAAACTATAACCTTTATTACAGTGGTTAAAAAAACTATTATTATTATTATTATTATTATTAATCAGTGAGCACTTTTCTTCAACTAGTATCATCATTTTTCTTATACCATCACCACTTTTCTTTCACTACCAACTCTTATAATGATGTTATTAAATTTTTTAAAATATATTATTATTATTACTACCATCTCTTCCTCGTCCTTCCACTCCACTACTACCATTATTACTACAATAATTTCTATTATTTTTATTACCATAATAATTAGTAAATTTATTTTTTTTATTATTCTTATTTATATTAAAAACCAAGTATTAAAAAGTTAAATGTTATTTTAATTTCTTACTATTATTTTTATTGCTATTAATATTACAATTTCAAATACAATTCATTTTTATTTTAGATATTTTATTCCTAATAACCAAACGACACCATAAATTAAATAAAAAAAACTCCATTCCTTCCCCTCCCCTCAAATTTTTCCCAAACAAACTGTTAGTTCTGCACTCTCTTTTAATAACAGAATAAACTCTTCGTCCCTGATTCTAGGACAGAATGGCTAAAGCATCCCTTCGCAAGATCAACAATCAAAACTCAGAATTGAGAATGATAGATAGGCATTAAGAAACTGGTACACAGACCATACAGATCCTGCATGTTAAAAAGCGCATGCAAGCGTCCAAGCTTTGGTTAGGGCATCAGATATTTAACCTTCAATGTCTGTTCGAATCATGATGTAGGGGACACCTAACGAAGATAACACTCCACTATTCTTCTCCTCTAAATACCATAATCACCATGTATATTAGCTCGGAAAAAAGATGTCTTTTGCCAGATTCTGTCCTCGAAAAACTACATAACATCCACCAGGCAACACAGCAAACACTGAGTCGTGTTTTTAAATATTTATGATACTATAAGCAGATTTCCCGTTCATATGGATAGAGGAAAAAAAATTAAGAACGGGGCTTTCAGAAGGGAAGAGAATGTACTTGGTAACAATTGTTATGCAGAGCAATTGTTCATCTTTACTATAGACAGCAAACACTTGTGGTATTCACAAAGAACTCTATACAGTCTTCTTTTGTTTTCTTCAGTGTTGTAGCTCGTTTCATCCGTGACGGTAACCTTTGAAGCAATATCATGTGGTTTCATCGAATACCATCACCTAGGGGACCCAACCAAAAGACAAGGTTAAGTCAAATTAGCAAAGATTCTGGAAAAACATAATATTAAACTTCATTCTTCTTTTTTCAATAAAACCATACAACAATCTTTCTCATATTTGAATGTTAAAGTTGCAAGCAAGTAGATACACTGAATGTCTCAAAAGAATGCTTTAATTGGATCCTACAAGAGTTTGCATGTTACATGGCTGATATATGTTCCAGACTAATCTTTGAATATTCAACTCCATATCCTGGGAAATAAATGAAGGGCATGATGTCTTGAGATAAAATCAATGCGACACATTTTTTACCATCCAGTAATCTATTGATTCCAAGTATAAACAATTACAAGTAACCAAGATGGACATTTCTGCCAAACTATCAAGACTTGCATGGCTTCAGTAGATATGATATGTGCTCACTAAAAGTAAAATCATGTAGAAATGAATCTTCTGCAAATTGTGGCTTCTCAAGGCCCCGTAGCTGGCAAAGTAACTTGTGGATAGCTACCTTTCATATGCACCTGGTAAGCCAATTTGCAAGCCTCCAGTTTACTGAGGTGTGCCCTAGAATATATCACTTTAATTAATTACCCTTTCGGCTGTTAAGCAACAAAATGTTGGTTAACCCCTCACCTCACAAACTCCTCCCACCTGTTGCTGCCTATGCCACTTGAACAAAAGGCCAATGGCAAGAAACTAAATTTCTATTCACCTGTTTGGGTTTGCCTCACAAGGAAATGTGTGTAAGAATGCATGTATTCGAGGGGGAACAATAAGAACAGCCAAAACTCTTTCGCAATACTTCATGAGCCAATAGGGGACAAAAAGGTAGGTTTTCTGCTAACCTCTCAACTCTTAACTGCATAAAAATATCTCTAATACCCAGAAGGTGAGGTGAGGCAATATTAAACCCGCTAATTAGAGTGCAAACTGGAGTCATCAGAGATAAGACACTATCATGCAATAGAGCCAACTCCTATAGCAAGCACCCAATTCATCATTTAATATACCTAATTACAAGATATGTCATTGCTATCCACGACAAGAAAAGAAACTAGTTTTACTCATGACAAGAAATGATTATACATATGATAAACCAAAAGAAGAAATTAAACAAATGCACAGCAACAGGAAAAGTCTTGATAAGAATTACTAAGTTTTTAGCAGCAAAGGAAAAAATATAAAAAGCTTTTGAACATTGGACTCGTTATTCTCCTCGAGTTGCAAATGTACTGAGTAATATTATTCCAGAATGAAATTTGAAAATTGAATGAGCAAGTTTAAATAAAATAAAGCAACACAAGTTACCTTGCCGCAGACTGGGCAGCTATCACTTCTTTCCATCCACTCATAAATGCAACCAAGGTGGAAATGGTGAGAGCATTTTGTCATTATCTTTGGGTTCTCTGGAGTATATTCTGCATATGTCAAGTAAGAGGGTAAGAACAATGACAGCTTAATTGTCAACACACCTAGTCCATTAGAGCAAATTTTAAGCATCCTTAAAACATTGACAACAAGGAGTGTCATCCCCAATCAGGAAACAGGTTTAGACTCCAAGATTTCACTTTTTTTACCACAGTGGTGGCCAAGGTTGCATTCTTCAAAGAAGCAACTTCTTAATTACCAGAAATTGTGCTTCTAAGGTTGGATCCAATTATTTCATTATTTCAGATGGTAAGGTTAGATGGAAATCTATGGTCTGATAAAAAAATTGTGACATTACCGTCTTCCAATATAGTTTTAACAAATTCCCAACTTCAAAATTACCAGAATTTTGCTTCTAAGGTTGGAAGCAATGAACATGGAATGGAAGAACAACTACAATATGGTGAAAGAAAATTCTGACATGCTCAAAGCTTCCATCTTTTTCTGTCCATATTCATACCATCTCCCACTACAATTTCCATAAAATCAGCTGATAATGCCAATAGCTAGCTTTTCAAACAGAAAGACTAGCCCCAAGTCTTTTATTGGGGGGGGGGTGGTGTGGGGGTGGTGGTTTGGTCTCAAGATGCCTATAAGGTGTAAATTTTATGAAAGTTGACTATTTGAATTATCGATGCTATTCCCACATAACACAGGATATCAAAACACAAACAAGTAAAACTTAGCTCATGCCAGGAAATGTACGAGATACTTATTCAACAAGCTAGAAATTAAAGTGAAAAAATTTAGTGTTCAAGACATGTTTGACTGCCAATATCAGCAGAAACATAGTTATAATAGAACATCTTAATGAATGCAACACCTATTAAAGCTAAATCAAGAATTTTACCATCAAGACATGTTGGACAGACTTCCTCTTCTTCTGATGATGAATAAACATATGCAATTCCAACTGTTGCTTTTGCTGATGAGAACTTTAGTGAGGATCTAGAATGCTGTTCCTTGCCTCCTTCACAAGCAGATGCATTCCGTTTGTCTCCTGTGCCGAAGGATTCAGAATCAGCATCATTATCACTTCTTAAGGGTTCTGACTCCTCGTGTGCATGACTTGAACCCTTCTCACGTCTTGAAACCAGACCATCACGCTGCAAGCGAAAGCATCTGGGGTCAGCATCATAGGGCAAGGGCCGTGGAGGAGATCGGTACATGTCAGCGAGAGAGTTGTCAAGAGATGCAGAAGAAGTCAGAGACGCTGCCCCTTGAATGGATGAAGGGACAGAATGTACTTGCCCTCTTCGAAATATCGAAGTATACTACAAATATTGGGGGCAAAAGAAAGAAGAAAGAAAATAGTTAGAACTTCATCAGAAGGAATATGAACTATTATTGTATTACAATTCTAATTCAACAAATCAACTTGGAAATTATGAATAAATACTTATTCCGTAAAAATGTGCTGCTCATGCAAATAAAATCAAACAAATGTATTGCACTCAGATATACACTTTAGCTAAAACTAAGAATCTGGAGGATTCTCCACAGTAAGAAGCACACCGACCAATATGCTTTCGTTTTTTCCAACTTTTACCACCCATTTGATTACCATGGTGGTAGACACCAATAGCAATATAGAGAAGTCGTGGGCTCAAAAGTGGAAGCAACATAAGAGACAAAACATTGGTAAATTATCCCAGCTTAATGGGTGAATTTTTTGCATCCTTTAGAGCTCTAACATACTTCTTTCTTTAACAATCATTAAAATGTCAACTTGTAATAACCCACATTCTATATCAAAACAATGAGAGAGCTTTTCATCTTTAAACATCAATCTTTCCTTCACACTTTTCCTCTCATCCATTTATTCCCGATGGTCATAAGGCAAGGAAGAAACTAATAAAGACAATGTCTTATGCAGCATTACGGAAATATGCCTGACAGGTTAGGTAACAAGCCTAGTCAGCAGCCATAAAAGAAAAAAGTAAAACATGATACCGTATAAAACTTCTAGTCCTATTTCTATGAGTGTGAAAGAAAAAAAAATCTTATTTTTCAAAAATAACAGAAAAAAGGAGGAAAGGCAGGAGGTAAAGCATACCACATGTAGGAAATTCTGAACAAAGCAACCAAGGCACAAGCAGTTTCTATATACAGAATTCTCAGGATTCAAATAATCCTCAAAATCATCAGCATGCAAACAGCAACAAACAGAACCCATGGTGTCAGTCCCAATCTCACTCTCTACAGCAATTGTCCAATATCACCAAAGATTAATGACACTGACCATAAGCATCAAGAAGTATTGTTTTGCACAATAAATAGAGAATGAGAGAGGACTCTTAAGCTCGCAGAAGTTCAATTGCCTCCGCGAACCAGATCCTCCCTCCCTTGGTTACCAAATGCCGATTGCCCTTTTTTTCCTTTTTTTCTTTTTTTGGTTGAACAATTGGTGGGCCTAAATACTTCTTGTCCTGTAAATCAGGAGAGAATCATGTTAAAAAGATCGTGTCATTAATAAAAAAGATTCACTAAAATGATATCACTAGAGCAAATTGATGAGCTAAATTAAGCAGTAAATTTCGTTAAATAATTCAGCATTCACAAGCATATACCCGTAGACATTAAAAAAATGACTTTATTTGGTTGATCAATTCAAGTTGTTACAGCATGATCAGTACAGAGAATCTTCAATTAACTACCAAACTAACTAAACTTGGCAACTTTCAGAGAAAACTGAGGATTGCCTGTCCAGATTTTCTTTCTTTTTTTCCAGGAAAATGACAATCTTTGCTTGCTCTTTGTAAGTCTTCCTATCAAAATCTGAGAAAGGGCTATTTCTTTTAATCCAAAGTAACATTCTTGAACGATCAAAAACTGAAATTGAGAAAGCAAGAGAGGGACCTCTACAATCATCCCATAAACAAACACCAAGCAAAAAAAAAAAAAAAGCCATTTATGAAGAAAAAAAACAAAATTTCTCAATTATGAAAAAAAAAAAAAAAACTCAGGGAGAACAAAAGGATCAACGCAAAAACATGCATGGATCGTCAAAATGAAACATACCCAGTTGAGATTTTCATGTGTTAAAGCGAAATTTGAAGTCTTAAAGACAAAGATTTTAGAAAGATCAAAAGAAAAGAAAAGGTACCTTGTAAGAGGTGAGACAAGTTAAAGAAAAGAAACGGAAGAAAAGAAGAAAATGGATAATTCGATATCTATTTTCGTTTGTATTTCGGGCGAGAAAAACTACGAATGTGCGGAATTAAAGCTGTGTCTGTGTCTGTATGTTCCTCTGGTGGTGGGTTGGAGAATCAATCCACTTCCAACTTTTTTATTCAAAAAAGAAGTGTATTTTATGATTACTTTAATAGTCCTTTACTATGCAATTTTGTGTCATCTTACCATTTATTGCTCTCCTCATCTCTTTACCATGCTTGTCTTTTACTATTTTATGGTTTGTTCACATTTCGTAAGACGGGGGTTTGATTTCAAGATTCTCTGGATTTAGTCTTGTTTTACGCAAAGATTAGTTTAAGAATAATGTTAATTTCGAATTAAGAATAAATTAGTAGGTTAAGTAGGAGCTGAGTTTATTGGTTCGATAGAATAATTCTCGAATTAAATTGAATTTAAATCTGTTTAAATAATTTTAAGAATGCACATTTATATTGAGTTTGTATATGAGCATAGGCACTAGTCTCAAAATTTGAAATTAAAAAAGAGAACACTTTTTTTTTAACCTTCAAACCATTCTTTAATTAATTAGTTTTATGTATGAAATCTAAATTTTTCTCCAATCAATTCATCCATTCATGGATAATAGAAAATTTTTCCTTTTAATTCAAATCTTTAGCAATAGGTTGAATTTTTTTCTTTTTTAATTCAACGATAAAAATATTTTATACTAATTTATACATTAATCGAAATTAATTTTTTTCGAAGTATCTTAAACATATACATTTACATCAACTTGATATATTTAAAAATAATTAATAAATTTTTTGAACACTAAGCCCATAAGCAATAGTGGATAGCACAAGGAAGCTACTGATTCATAACCATTTACAAAAATAAATAAATAAAATTCAGAATTTGATATGTAGTGCAATTTACTTTGGCTTAAAGTGTTTGGTTATGGTCATTAATTAGTCAAACTCGTTTGGTTGAGTAATCCATCAAAAGACACATTTGATCCTTTCCTTTGAAACTTTCGTCTTGTTGACCACGAGCCATTTCAGTCCAAGTGGTGAATTCCCTTTAGAGGTTGTAAATCCACCAATGGAAAAACTTTATATTTTTGGAGATTCAATTGGGATAAACTAAGAGAGATGGAGGTTCACATCCATGTTGATTTATTTATTTATTTAATCCTTGTTCTTGAAAAGGATCAATCATCTCAATGGGAATGCTCCTTGAACACATAACCAAAAAAGAGATGGCAACTAAATCTTCTTCTTCTTCTTTTCAGAGGCAAAAAAAAAAAAAAAATGAATGTAAAGGTAAACTGATTTCATGATCAATTAAAAAAAATGCATCTCGCATTCAATAAAAGTCTCGTCCAATAAAAAGTTTGGGATCTGTTTGCAAATAGAATAAATCAGATATAAATAAATTTAGGATCTGAACATTGCTATATGAGGATTGAGGACATGAACTCTAAATTTGATTATGATCGATTTTTCAATTGGATTTAAAAAAAAAAAAAAAAAGTCTTCATTTTGTGGAGAAAGGATTCCAAATTCATCAAACTTATTTTTTCAGTTCTTCATCAAAAGGTCTGGCATTTGTCTTATTTTAATCTCCAGTTGCTTGAGCTGGGATGTTTACGATTCATGTTTTTTTCAAAACTCCCCGGAGATGGATTTTCGGCTTCACAAGGTTGGATGATGATTGATGCTGAACTGATGTTTTTGGTGAATTTGTATGTGCTTATACTCGCACATTTCTTCTCTTTGAGGGGTCATGCCACTTAGAAATGATCATTTCGTTTTTAGCAGTTTTGATTAACCAAACCTATAAAAAACAAAAACAGAACTCAAATCGGATTACTATTTGATTTTTTTATTTTTTCGGTTTAGACCAATTTTTTTAAAAAATAATTTAAATAGACAAAAAAAACCATCATTAATCTATCAAATATCTATAATAAGGGTAAGATATTGATTTTTTAGTTTATTTTCCTTATTTTAAAACTTTAAAAAATAAAAAATATATATTTTGGTTTTCGGTTTAAAAAGAACCAAAAATTCAAAAAAAAAAAAAACCCAATTGAATCGAAAATCAAAAAAAAAATTCAGCCTACTTTTTTTTAAAAAAAAATTGAGTTAAAAACTAAATTAAAATTGATATTTTGATCAAATTGTTTGTACTAATACTTACCATTAAAATAAATCTAATGTTGTAATAAAAACATAAAAAGGAAAACAGAGATAAAACAATTTGACTCTTTGAATAGTACGAACGTGTTGTACAAATTTTTTTTCCCCTCCTGTATCTTCCATTGAATCTTCAAAGGCCAAAAGGGTATCACTTTTATAGTGTAATGTTTTACATACAACCGTTCATACAAATACTTGTGATGATATTTTTTTTCCACACAAGAGTAATGATTTATCATCAATGGGACCTATATTTTACCACTTATTGTTGATTTATCTTTTTTGTTTGCAGGATAAAAGTATTTTCAAATCAATTTAGAGTAAATTATAAACTAGTCCCTCTCAATTAGTCTCTATTGTTTAAAAACTAATCATTTAACCCCCACATTTTGAAATCTATTTGTAATTTAGTCTTTTTTGCTTATTTTTAATTTATTTTTATTTTTTTAAGAAATAAAAAAGAAGAAAAATATATTAAAAAAAAAATAGACAGATTAATGAAAAAATAAGAGATTTTATGAAATAAAAATAATATTAAATTAAGTATAGTCAACACCAATTAAAAGATAAAATAATATTTTTTAAAATGAGATGGACTAATTAATTTATTTCTTGAAACTAAAGGGATTAATTTATAATTTATTCAATCAATTTGTACATCAATTAAAATTATTTTTCTTTTCTAACCATCTTAAGGATGCACTCTTTATATCGTCCCCGTATCAAATATAATATATGTTATTAATTATAAATTAAGACCAAATAGTAAAACAACATGGTTGTGACAATTAACTAGTATTTTTTTTTTCAATTTATCACTCACTCACACTAGAAACATATGATCAACACATTAATTTTTAGATCTATTTAGATCAATACACAAAGCCTTATCAAAACTTTGTAGGCGTTGGTCATAATAGCACATATTAAAGTAAAAACATTTTTTGTATATAAATTCATATTTAGTAGGTTATTAAAAAAAACTTATATAATCATTTTTTTATTTAAAAGGTATAATAATGATATTAATAATTTTGAAAAAAATTAATTTCTATAATAAATATTATATGTATCAAAATAATCCAACAATTCCTCACTTCTTTTTATAAAAAAAATAATTTCAGTACACTATTTGGATAAAGGTAAAATGTTATGCATAATGAGAGTGGAGAGGGTTTGAATTCTCACTTAGTGTTTCAATAAGTTTACTCCAAAGGCAATATTAAACATTGTTTTGAACTAAGACTCATTTAGGTCACAAGCAAAGCATCACATACATGCTGTTGTGCAACGAGCTTCTAAGCCAACACACTACAACTTTATACTAGATCCCAACTTTTATAAGTGTTATAGAGAATTAACTTACTTATCATAAGAAGCACCCCACTTCTTCGTTCATATAAGTGAGTCTAATAAGGATATTCTCGTAACTCTACATCTTATTCATTAAGATTTTTTTTCCAGAAAAACCCGATTTTAAATCTACTACAAGATGCATGCACTACAGCATATGGATGGACATATGAGTATTGTAACTCAAATAAATTATGCACGTAATTAAACCAATCTATGCTCGTTCTTCTCTTTAAAACTAGTTCTCAAGATCTTTAGTCCTTAGGTAGAGTGTTCACATAGATTATTTTATTTTTTATGAACTTAGTCTCATCTTCCTTGATATATCATAAAATCCTTTAACTTTAATTAAAAATTTAATCTCACAATATTCAACATATATACTCAAAATATTAGGTAATAAACACTCCATTAATTCATTGGTGCTAAGAAAAGTGGTAAGAAATTTTTTACTTTTTTTTTTTCATTATAGATAACATAATGTCTA